ATTGCTACGGCGAAAGAAAGAGAGCGGTTATGTATGTCCGTCTCTTTCTACTGCTCGAAGTTGGCCGAAGCGCCGAGCGCACACGTACACGGCTGTTCGCCTGTGTGCGTATCCCCTCCACTTGATGCTGAATGCTTACTAAAATACTAAGTCCACGAACTGGCATCTCTGGTTTTGAGCCATATATGCACCAAACCAAACTTTCGTTCGTTCCCTCTTGCTTAATTAGACACAGCCCAAGTTTTGAAGTTTTTAAGTATTTTTTACAATTTAAATTCAGTGGACAATATAAAAATGCAACGCAGTATACTTCAAGTTACCAATTTTCAACTAGTGCAGAAACGTTTTTTCAAAAAACACCACGTTAGGGTTAGATTTGCACCTAGTCCCACTGGTAAACATCTGCAAATATTGTTTTAAAACAATTTAAAATTTTGTTTTTAGTGCTGAAAGAAAATGAATCAATTTGTAAAAATTTGTATTCAGTATATTGAATATTTGATAGTAATAATGTCTTCTAATAAAATCTCAAATAATAAGTCTGTGAACTATATTCCACAGTTAGTAGTGATGAAAAACAATGAGATAGTGCTGATAAGTTTATTGGAACGTTTCGATCCTTTTTATTGTGATCATCCTCAGCCAATCTTAGTAATCAAATAAATACAGTAAAAAGATTATTGTGACTGCATGTCAGTAAAGAGGAACTCAGTAAGAGTAAAAAATAGCAATGTGTGTCAACAACATTGTAATCATTTATTCTTAAATAGTTATTAGACTATAAATCTAATCTATCTAAGAATTATACATTTGGGAATAAATGATTAAAATGTTGATACACATTGCTATTTTTTACTCTTATTGAGTCTCTATTTATTGTGACATGTGGTCACAATCTTTTTACTGTATTTGATTACTAAGATCGGCTGAAGATGATCACAATAAAGAGGATCAAAATGTTCCAATAAACTTATAGACAATGCTGATAACAGCATTGTCTTTCACTACTACCAACTGTGGGATATAGCTCACAGACTTGTTTATTACTTGAGATTTCAGTATATTCATATTTCAATACTTTTCAAATATTTAGTTTTACATATTTATGTATTAGTATTTATGTATTATATATGCTTACTTTCATTTACATGCTGCAGGCCACTTGCATTTAGGAGGATTGCGTACTGCATTGTACAACTATTTATTTGCACGTAGTAACAAAGGCACATTTATTTTGCGAATGGAAGATACTGATCAGACAAGAACAATTTCTGGAGCAATGGAAAAACTTCAAGATGATCTATTTTGGGCAGGGATTATATCTGATGAAGATCCTGTTAGAGGTGGCCCTATGGGTCCTTATATACAATCATCCAGACTTGAATTATACAAGTATGTATTTTGTGTTAAAAGTAGCAATTAGAATTTATAATGATATAAGTTAACGTTAGTGGAGACAGAGTGTTAATTTTTTGCATGCCTGGAAACAAATAAATATATATACTTTGTGAGATCTATAAGGTCTATAAGATCCCACACTTTAGAAGAAAGTCAATTTTTAATTTACAAAATAATACCAACAATTAAATTATGATTATGAAACAATATTTTTTTAGGTTAAGTGGAAAAACAATCAAAATTGAAAAATAAATTATGTAAATTTTCTTCTCAAGAAAGAAAACTTATCTTTGGGAAACGATGGACTTTTTAGACTCAATCAGACATGCAAAAGATTATATAAATATTAAATGTTTAACGATAAATATTAAATGTTTAATGATATATCTCTTAAAAAATTTTAAATTCCATAAAATTACTTAGGTATTTCTCTAATAATTCAGTATCCAGTATAAATTATTTTTATTTATAGGGAACAAGTACTTAAACTCATAAATAATGAATCTGCCTACTACTGCTTTTGTTCAGAAAAAAGACTAGAAGTGTTAAGAAAAGAGGCAATGAAATGTGGACAAATACCTAAATATGATAATAGGTGTAGACACTTTAGTAGAGATGAAGTAAAAGAACTATTTAAGAACCATGCAACTTGTTGTATTAGATTTAAAGTATGTCCTCTTTAAATTAACATTTGATGAAAAAAATCAACATTGTAAATTTAGAAAATATTTTTTCACTTTTGTTTTGTGTGTGCGTGTGCGTGTACGTGCGTGCGTGCGTGCGTGCGTGCGTGCGCGCGCGCGCGTGTGGATGTGTAAATATTTTAGTTACCAAGTACACCAGAACTATTTCATGATATGGTTTATGGAGATGTGCTGCATGATATAGCTAAGACTGAAGGAGATCCAGTTATTATAAAATCAGATGGCTATCCGACTTATCACTTTGCAAATGTTGTTGATGATCACTTTATGGAAATTTCTCATGTTTTACGAGGTGTTGAATGGCAGATTTCTACACCTAAACATATTATGCTTTATAAGTAAGTATTGTTATCTAAATTTTCTCAATATATTCCATGTTTTAAATATAGTTATACTAAAAAATGTTTTATATTTATTATAGAGCATTTGGTTGGGATCCTCCTATGTATGGCCACTTACCTTTAATATTGAATGCGGATGGATCTAAATTATCAAAGAGACAAAATGATATAAAAATCGAAGTTTTTAGAAAACAGGGCATATTTCCATTAGCATTAGTCAATTATGTAATAGGTGCTGGTGGTGGTTTTTATAAAGAACAAGGAAACAAAGATCTTTATAGTTACGAAGAACTAATTAAAAAGGTAAATGTAGATAGTGTAAAGTTTCTCTTATATGTTCTTGTCATAATACACAATTCTTATGTTTTATTTATATTCATTTAACTTTTCATTACAGTTTGATATTAGTAAAATTAAAGTAAATTCTGGCAAACTTATGCCCAAAAGACTGTTAGAGTTTAATAAGTTAGAAATTTCAAATTTACTAAATAATGAAAAGAATCATAAATTTATAATAGAAAAGGTTAAAAGAATAGTCTTAGAAGCATTTCCAGAACGGTACGTCTTCTTTTATATGTACAGCATTTTGTTTTGTTGTCAAAGAATTTTGTTATATTCTTAAGTTATTTTATTTTAGAAAAAATAATAGTTTGCAGTTAGACGATCATCACATAATTACTACATTAAAGTGGGCACAGAATAGAATATGGATGCTCAATGATCTTGTTAAAGAAGATCTAGCATTTTTATGGGTTATGCCAGCTTCTACGCCGTATATTGAACAAACTGAATATTTAAGTATTGAATTTTTTTTCTTTTTTAATTAATCTTTACCAACATTTTAAATACATATATTATTGCTGTATTGCAGATACAATTAAATTATTGAATACGGAATTAGCTGAAATAGACGCAGGCAATTACAAGACCAGTTGGATAGGCTCATACTTAAAGGACTTTGCTGTAAAAAATGGAATTCCATTTTCTGCTTTAATGAAAGTTTTAAGAAATGTTTTAAGCGGATTAAACGTAAATATATATTGTGCAAATATTATTTTCAATATTGAGAAGAAATATATTAATGATAATCCACAGGCTGGGCCACCTGTTGCTGAAATGATAGAAATATTAGGAAAAAATAGTACATTGTTGCGATTACAACGTTGCGTTTCCTGAGAAAACTTATATACCGTTGAATTGTAAATTATGATTATGGTATTAAAAGTTAAGTACTTTGAAAACATCTAGTTTGCGTACATTTGTACTGGAGTAATTTTTTATCTATGTTATTAAATCTTCACTTCTTGATTTTGATAATAGCTGCGTTCAGCAGAACTCAGTGCTTAGCAAGCGCTTTGTGCTACGCTTCCAGCAGCTTTAATGTTCTGCTGAACGCTCTTGTGTGTATGTATGACATTTTACATGCAGGTAGATTAGGTATATACACTAAATATAAAACTAAAATATTTTATAAGTATATTTTACTTTTTTTACAATCATATTTTTTAGTTTTACTAAGTAAAAATAACATAATAAGAGCATTACAATACTACATATGTCTACATGTATCAATATTATGCTAAAATGCTGAAAAATCAATAGTGGCACTCAAAACTTTTACTGCGATAATTAGACAAAAATATAGTCTTATGAAAATACTTTTAATGTCCAACAATAATATTAAATAATAAAAGTGAAGGTTGTAAGGGATATTAAATAAATAATATCAAATTTTGTTATCACAATTTATTGTCCTTTAAATAAAATAAGTTTGGTAAAAAAATGTCGTACTTTATCTCTTGGGCTTATATTACATATATATTTAGTTCTTAAGTTAAGATAATTGTCGGCAATTGACTTTAACAATAAATGTAAATGATTCTGTTATGGATGATTATCTAGCGCATGATTCTGCAATTTTTGAAATATAGTTACATGCAAAAATTCTATCATTACACATTGTATTATTTTTTAATTTTTTTATTTTAAGTTTAGTTGATCAAAAACTTCTTTTCTAAAAACACTTTTCGCAAACAATACAAATTTTTATAACATCGTCACTAGGATGCGCTAAACTTCCTCTATCCTTAACTTTTATTAAACTAGCCATCAAATTTTCCTGAAAGTCAAACAAGACATGTACTTTGTTACATTACTGCGCGTGATGTTGGTATGGATTTCATGACATTTGCACAATGTCATAATAGTATAATAGGGTAACTGTCCCTATTAGTGTGCTGTTAAGCAAGCGTGCTCTCTTTTTTGAATAAATACTCAATTAACTGACTTCAAATGAGCTTGCTCAAAATTTATATCGATTCTTTAAACTCTTCTTTTGACAATAAGATTTGTATTAGCC